AAAAAAACAAAAGACGAAGAGATTATTTCTCGAACTCTAATGAAAATATTATTTGCAGACCGATAGAGCAGTTATGGTTGATGAAATTGTGGATTACGTGAAGTTCTTGAGACTCCAGGTGAAGGTAAGCTTATATGATCTCTATTTTTTTCCTCCCCAACTCGAGTTGCAAATTTTGTGAAGTCGCATGATTTGAGGGCTTGATTTCTGAATTGAATCATTATTTCAGTGGACAGTTATTCCAAATTCAAGCATGTCTCATGTCTGTACACTTTAACCTTTCCAAACATATATGCTTCAAATGGTTGTCGGACAATATTGAAATACCGTTTGGATTATGATACGAGAATAACAAATCACAAATGATTTAAAGTCAGTGTTAATTACTTTTGTCTATAAAAATCATAAATAAATAAATAAGATGGTAATTTAATAAATTTCAGGTGCTGAGCATGAGTAGATCTGGAGGAACTGGTAATGTGGCTCCACTGGAGCTGGACATCCCAATATCATCACTAATAGAGGTAATAAAGAAAACAAGATTTTTCACTCGTTACATTTACTTTGTCTGTCATATTCTCATTCTTCGCCTTATTTTTTGAAGAACTGGTCAAACGAAGATACCGAAAGACAAGTCGCTAAGCTTATGGAAGAAAATGTTGGAGCCGCAATGCAATTCCTTCAGTCCAAGGCACTCTGCATTATGCCTGTATCTCTTGCTTCGTCTATATGCTACTCATCGTAAAACCCTCTTAAGCCTTCAAAATTACGTAANTTTTTTTTTTTTTTTTTTTTTCTCATGATTCAGTTGACAATGTCAATGGCAAGTGTATAAGATGATGTCATTATTGTACTAGTAATATTTATTGAGTGTAAATGGAACATGAGACTGAATATAGATAAGTTGGAATGTGAGTTTCTGGTCGATTTCGTTGAAACTTAGTCAGATGTCACATTTACACCTTGATAATGGAAACGTTTGACTAATGCCCTTGCAAGATTCAACAAGAGAAGGAAATGTCTAACAAAAACTCTTGAGTTTGCATTGTTTTATTTTTCTACTAAATGTGGGGCATCATATGGTAGGTGGTGGTGAGTGATTAAAGCACTCTTTTCGATTGTGGTGGGATTCGCGGTGGATTTTCGGGGGCCCTTCGACGGGATAAACAAACTTGCCTACAATATATAGTAATTGTGGAGTCATTTTAAGTGCAAGTGGAAATGGATTGTTTACGACTAGATAATGGTTTGCTTTTGTAGCTAAAGTATGATTCTAAGTCCAACGATAATTGATTGTGGTGGAAGATATGACCCTACACACAGCCATTGATCTAACGGTGAAAAAATCGATGACTGCACTGCAGTTGTGTGTAAGCGTGAAATTTAAGATTGTGGCATCATCGTATTGAAGGAGTTGTGTCCAAAAGCTATCGAACTTTGTTCTTTTGTGTCACCTAATTATTTGTTTTGATTGCCTTGTAGGGGGAAATACAAATGGATGGTTGATGGTACTTGTGCTATGCTATGATATGCAGTGAGAAGATCTACTGTTAGAATTATAACTTAGATACATGAGCTATCTTTACTATTATAAAGGAGGATGTTTTGTTGTCAGCACAGTTTGTGTATCCTCCCTATATATAATTCTCGAATGCGCTGAGCCTACGTGGCTGCTTCTGGTGCTTCGGAATCTTATTTGGCGAAGAATCATGCTTCGTAATTAGGTTTGGATAAATAATATTGATGTATTAATAATTAATAATCTAAGTTCGGGTATTCCATAAATATTATTTAGCTAATTTAGGTATTTTAATATATTTTTACTAATATAACCCTTTAATTCTTTGTAATTTTACATAGTAAGACACTAAGTGACTAATATATCCTTGAATTTTGATTTGTTTCCTTCAATAAGCTATTGAATTATAAATGTATTTTAAAAGTTGATAACTTTTGTATTACTTATCGGTTTTACATATATAATATATCAAATTAATCATCTTTTGATGATCTTCGATTTGACATCCATATTGTATATATAAAATAAATAAATTATATTTGTCTTTATAATAATAAAAAATATTAATATTTATTAAAATTAGTTATATATTGTAAGTTAAAAAAATTAGTATAATATAACACAAGTAAGTTGTACAAATAAAAAGTATCATAATAAATATAGAGTAATGCTACAAGTACATAATAGTGTACATGAGGGTATACATAATACTTACATTGAGTGGGATCCACTAAAAATAAAAAATCAAGTAGACTCCACCTCATGTGAGAGTTATGTACACCTCTATGTACATTTATTATGTACATGTAGCATTTTTCATAAATATATAATAATATATATATTCTTATAAAAGGTATTTAAATTTTCAAACTACTTTTTCTCATTAATTTTAGATTTTAAGAAAAAAAAATAGCAAGCACCAGTGTAATGCACGGGTGTTGTATTAGTAATTTTATAATTTGAAAATTATAGTTACATGCAACATGAAAATTTGGTGATTGTTTGAAAGCACTTGTGTACAAGTTTATTTGGAAATTCACTCTACCGGAACTTTATAACTTTAAAGTGAATCTCTGATATAAATATTGTAATTTGAACATTATCCGATGAGTCGGAGTTTATTATTTTTGTAAATGAAAACTCGTGATAAATATTCTACTATAATTCTTATGTGAGACAATCTATCAGTAGACAAGTCAAGTTGTTGTATTATTTAAACTAGTAATTACCCGTGCGATGCATGGGGATATAATGAGTTGTGAGCTTTTTAGAAGACAATTTTGTATATAAATTGTGTAATAACACAATGATCATGATCATAAGAATAGACATATAAACATATAATTAAACTGAAAATATCATATATTATTGAACACTTCTATATATATAACATTATTGATTTGATTCTTTGGCACGTCATCTTCGCCAGATTTTCAACCCTTTTCGGTTAGTGACACGGGAGACAACAACATATAATTGGTCATGACTGAACACCGATTTCTTAAGAGCATGCTTGGATATAAATTTGTTTTTGTTTTGATTTGGGTTAGTTAAATTTGAAAAAGTATGTATGGTTAGTTGTTAGTGGATATAATAAAAAAAAATTTAAAATAAAATAATTAAAATTAAATTGATGTAAAAGTAAGAGAGAGAAAATGTGATGTGATAGTTAGTTAAATTTATGTGAGTAGATGAATAGTGAATTAAGGTTGATGTTGTGTGTAATAATGATTGATTGATATTATTTAATTATATTGATAATATTGATGATAGTGGGTTGAGTTAAAGTTGAGTTAAAAAAGTGGTTGAGTTAAAAATGTTTGGATTTTTTTGAGAAATTTTTGTATCCAATCATGCTCTTAATAATTGTCTCTGGCTCTTGTTTATAGTCATGACGTAAGAAACCATAATGGGAAAGTCGCCGCTGGAACTTGAAATGAATTCTAACATCAGAAGGAGTTATGACTATTTTTGGAATTAATACCTTATCACCAACATGATCTCCTATGAGTATCTTACATTCAAGAACATGAGTAAATAGTTTTCTCACAACCAATCGTGTCTCATTACACAAACCCATAGAATGATCCTTGCAACAACATGACTGGAGTTCCAATCTTCAAATACAACTCATGGTTCGGTATTCTGGAACACTTGATACTATTCAAAAACTCAGGCGTATAGAGATCAGAAAAAAAAATAATTATTAGAATCCGATTTGCACGTACCATCAGAGCTTAAGTACATACGACCATCCAACAAATTCAATGATGTCATGTACTCATTGATAGACTTGAACACATCCAACGCCGGCGCTAATATAGCCCTATCCTTCAAATAACTTGGATCGTCAGACGCCTCCTTATACATTGGATATGTGTTTTCAACGATTTGAGCAATAGGATCATCAGATGGCTGAAGCAAAATATCTTCAAATATGTCTATAAGTGCACATCCATAATTCGACCCCCCGATAGTTCCATCTCTGATTCTGGCTATCCAATCTGCAAACCGTGCAAGCTCATCACGTTTATCCGCATTACCAAGTCCTTGAAGACGCATGTTTTTCGTAAGCCTAAGCACAATATAATTCCTCCATATGTCATAAGCATTAATGGCAGCATTGATTATGTCCTGACGGCTACCCTTTGGAATGACATGAAGGATTTGTTAAAAATCTCCACAAAAAACAACTGACTTCCCACCAAACGGTTTGTTGAGGTTCAAAGGATCAATTGCTCCCATCAAATGGTTTATTTTAAACTTTTTAAGTGATTAATATGATGTCAACATCTTCTGGAGATTTTGAATAAATAAGCTAATTGGAAGCATGTATAAACAATGAACACGTGGTCTTATTGAACTAACATATTAAGATACAAAATAATTGCGGAAAAAAATTAAAGGCAAATATAAGTTAAAAGAACAAAATAAAAATTTATAAGAGAAGATGATAAAAATATTGAATAATTAGAGTAGAAAAAAGAAAAAAGTTAAACAAAAAAGAAAAAACACAAAAAGAAAATACAAAATTTTTACATGTAAATAATTATTATTCATTTTCTATAAATCCATATAACTTTGAAAATTAATTTGTGCATGCCTTTATGAAGGCACACACCTTTTTATTTATTTATTTATTTATTTTCCAGATTTCTTCTTTCCACGTAGCAGGTGGAATCTCCTTTTCTTTCGTATTTTTTTGCGATCATGAGTTATCCACATATTATTGTTCTTATATTCTCTCTACACCATTAATTTTGAATTCAAACTATGATATTAATCTTTGTGTCTTTTAGTTGTTTTCATGCTTTCTATATATAGAATATCAAATGTATTATTTATTTGGTCAAAACTTTCTAAAAAGGATTTAAACAACAACATTTTTATATATAGATAGATATTTAAATTACAATATTGTACATGAATAATAATAAGTAGGTGTAAGTTAAAATATTACTCGGGATCCATTAGTGAGAATGCTATCATTCGAGTTTGTACTCCTTTGACGTTCTTCAATTGCACGGGATTTATCTCGACCACCATCCCAATGACATCTAAATACGTGTTAAATTAGAGTAAAATTATTGTTTATCATAAAAATTCTAAGAAATAAAATTTAAATAATTGAGAATGCGGTTACCAAATAGAATTGATTCGTCGATCTTCTCGACATCAGTTAATGTGATGAACCTTCGAAAGTCGAAACGATAAATTGAAAAGTCACCCTTATAGCTTATGTGTTCAGTTCTACCATGTAAAATAAGCATGTATTTGGCAATGGTGGATCTGTACATTCCAATGTTACTCTCGACTTGATAGTTTCGGTGTGCATAGATAGCCCCTTCTTCAAATTCATTAATGAAAGTAGGGATGTCCATTGCTCTTATTATTCCAATAATTCGACCGTCCTTGAAAAAAAAATATAATAATGTAAATTATTGTGTAATATGATAAGAAATATTTAATCATTAATTGTTATTGTAAATTATACCTCAATGTCATGAAAGACAATTTCAATGATGTTCTTGTAGGATGAGTATTCATTAGTCCTTTGAAAGACACGAACAACTCTTAGCTTGATCATTGGTCTGTTAGTCCTTGTTACTTGCTTGATGTTTCCCCATACTTTTGCCATTTTTCTGCTTCAATGCTTTACGTCCAAATGAGAGTAAGATTTTTTTTCTGATACGTGATGCACTATCATTCTATCATTTTATAGGCATAGGATAATAGTTGATAACCATTAGATTAATTTAAAATATGAGTTTTAATAAATTGAAACACTTGTATGATGATAAGATAAGTACAATTTAGTTAAGAAGATGAGATATTTCGTTGTCAATATATATCTCAGCTAATTCATACCATGCGAATTAACAACCACGTGCTATTTTAAAGAATGAGTTATCAATATCTTATTATTCCAATATTATTTCTACACTGTTAATTATGAATTCAGTTTGTGATTTTACATTGATAAAGAACTAACCCGTGCGATTTTAATCATCACTTATCCACATGTTATTGTTCCTATATTATCTCTACACAATTAATTATTATCTCTAAACTATTAAATTTTAATTTAATAATTAAACTACAACTTGCAATTTTAACTTTTCTGTTATCCATATATTATTTTTTCAATATTTTCTCCAAACCATTAATTATGAAGTCAGTTTGTTATTTTGCATCAATGAAGAAAAACCACGTGCGATTTTAAGTCATGACTTATCTGCAGATTATAAAAATGTTGTTTGATTATATTGACGTAAAAAGAAATATTTAACCTTTTATAATGAGTGAAATTGCGGCTTATCCACAAATGTGGAATTGAGGCTTGTCCACAAATTAATGTTTGTTAGGATAGAATTGTGGTTGAATAATATTTATACTTTTATCATTAATATCAGCAATCATTATTATATAACACAAATTACAAATAAATATTATAATCAAACAAATATTTATGAATATAAACGATTAAATGTACTTGCTTCGGTTAATATTAATTTTGAAATATATTTTTTATATAATATTATACTAGTACGTATCCCGTGCGATGCACGGGTAGATAAATTTGGAAAATATTATAATTTGACATGCATTCATTTATTTATAAGAGAGTTATAATACGTAGGAAAATTATTCAATCATAAAATGTTTGTCGCAAAAAATCATATATTATTAAAAATCTCATTGTCCACAACATTATGAGTTTGATTATTGAGTAACTCGCCGTTCCCACAAACTAATATTTTCAACCCATTCTATTTGTTACACGTGAAACATCAATATACAATTGGTCGTGTTACCAAAAACAGGATTCTTGAGGAACAGACCAACGTGCGAGAAATATTGCCTCTGACTCTTATTTATAGCCATGACATATGAACATAAGTGGGAACTGTAGCCGCTTGAACGTAAATGGAACCCTAAGACCTGATTGAGTGGTATTATTTCTTGGAGTCAGGACCTTTTCAACAGCGTGATCTACTGTCAATATCTTGTATTCGAGCACCTGAGTTATTGGTGCGGAAGAACGACATGTTTCAAGTAATCATTCTTTTTATATATTATCTATTAATATAAGAAAAACTAAGTAAAGTATATTATGTAATTGAAGTATGAATTGAAACACAATACATCATTTGTTAATATGATAATGGTAGACTATGATGTGTATGCAGGACACTCTGATAATGAGAGGAAAAAATCTCTAATTAATTATTGTTTTGTGGTGTAATAAAAGATGATTCATTAAAAGCGGGTGAACTCATACACATTGTATAGAAGAATACGAAAGATATAATTAATAAACAATTTTTTCCTAGTAATCTATTACTAAGTCTAAGGACATTAAATATTATCGAACAAAATATATATTTTTAAGACCATCACAATACCATTCATGACGTCACATAAGACCGAACTTTGAAACAATCGAAGATATCATTTTGTAAGATTTGGATGGTTAAATATAATGTAAAAAATTAAATATATTATAATTGATCAGTTGATTATTATAATATAAATAAATATTATTTATATTAGTCTATTAATAATAAGTTATAAATTAATACAAAGAAGTGGGCTTATTGTGTATTTTTAAGAGTACAATAAGTAGACTTAACGTTATGTAAAAATTTTGCCAATTTAATATGGGCCTCATATTTATTTATTTTTTTTATGTTTAAATACAGATGACCGATTTGTATTCCAGACTATATGAATTTTTAATGTTTAAATCACGGATTTTCACGGTTTTTTTTTTAGATCACGGATTTTTTATGTTTAAATGCAGATGACTGATTTCAATTCTGTTTTTTAAAATATAAATTTCTGTTGTTATGTGATTGTTAACAACGATGTAACACGTGATTAGGATGAGAATTATGAATGATTTGGACGTAAAACATGAAGAAATAACTCAACAATGGCCCCGGTCCGAGGTGAACCGAGGTGAAGAGCCGTGATGGGCTTTTGCGTGTTGCATAATGATGTTTTTTCAGTTCGGAGAGAGATCCCTGTACAAATGTCATAGGTTCACTATTTATAGTAATTTTTTGGGGGGATACATTGGGATTTGTGTACTACTTTTCGGATAAAGTAGCTTTTTGTGGGCGGTTTGGAGCAGTGGGTCCCATATGAATGATGACGGATCTCGTAGAGCGTGATGGTTATGCGTAGGCACCTTGTCACCTGCTTAAGGAGGTGACGATCTCGGTTTAAGTAGACCTCGGTAGGTGCTGACCACTTCGGTCTTCGGTAGTTCGGTCCGGTTCATCGCCTGGACCGGGGTGGTGTTAAAATCACGTCGGTTCAATGGTCATCTTCCTCTTAATATGATGTTTGGAACCTCTTAATGGTGTTTTACCGAATCGGATGATAACAGAGAGGCCCCCAATATCGGTGGGCATACGGAGTAATGGTCGTCGATGTTGCCATGCCAGACATTTAGAGGCCCCGAATCGGTAAAAAGTCAGCGGCAGGGTGTTTATTGTCTTCGGAGGGTCTCTTCGGTCTCCTGACCGACGTAACCGAGGTGAGTCGTTTGTCCGGAGTGTAGACTGTATTCCGAGGTGAAGACACTTGGTGAATTTCGAGTAACTTGCAGGTAGTCGCGACAGGAGGAACGTGAATCGTCGTAACAGTCAATGATCTAAGGATAAACGGTCGCGCCGTAATGGTCTTAAATGAGGTAACGGTCGGCTTTAATAGGTTTCCACGTGTAACAGTAGGCGTCTTGTCAGATGAAAGGGTGGCGCCGGTTGGAATTAGGGGTCGCGTCGGTTGGACGCGCCCCTAATTAAGTCTCCCAACGGTCATAAATCGAAAATTATAAATAGGGTTTAGCAATATCTGGTCGGGTTTTCTTCACATTTGCTTTCATTTTTGAGCTTTCGTATTGTACTTGTTGTTGAAATTCTTCTGAGATTTCGAGGATTGTTTCCTGCTTGCTGTGCGCGTGTGAAGTTTTCGGTAAGCTTTTTCTTTAATTTCTTCTGTTATTCCTT